TAATGACACCATACGAGCCGGAAGCTTGGCGATCTTTTAGTTCAGCTAGTTTGTTAGAAAGACCCTGAGCATTTGTATACAAGCAGGCCAGTTTCTCGGTCTCTAGGAGCCCGCAGAGAGGTGAAGCTGTCAAGTGTGGGAGAATGCCGACCGATGGGAGGTCGGCAGTTACTTGTTTTTTTTAAGGGTCAATGATACCTCGTTTGCAACTTGATTTGGCCAAGGTGCTTCTCAGCCTTCGTTTAGATCCACGTCAGAGTCAATTAAAGCAGCAGTCAAGTTACACTTCCGTACATTCGTCAGTATGCTTGCTGCTTCAGTTGCTTTAATATTTGAGTTGTGTAAAATGTTTGCGACCTTTAACCGAATTTCGGAAGGAAGATGTTCCCGATTTCTCCGCCATCGATCCAAAACATCCTTTGCTTGTTGCTCTGAGAAGGAGTGTAGCTAGATTTGGTAAGACGAAAGTGCCTACCAGAATTTGATTTAGACATGGCTAAACTGGGATGAGTTGGAAGTAGGTAAGTTCGAGTGCAATTGTATGATAGTGCCTTAGTATCGAAAAGTAAATCGGCGCACATAAACAAATGATTTGTAGCGCAGAAGGACTGTAACCGAAATGTATGATGACAGATTGTTATTAAATAGCTTATTGCCACAGTAGAGTAGGCAGCTACGTGTGCCTACGGTTGAGTGATTGGATGTTAGCTAAACCAATTCTTGGAAACTCGCTACAACAGTTTGGACAACTTTTCGAAGGCCCAATGTCAGACAGGGAGCAGTGGGGGTTACAGTAATAATATTACTGTGGTCGCGTTAAAGTGCCCATCAAATAATGTGTGATATTAGCAACTTCCAACGCTTAAGTTAGAGCAAAGAACGTCCCTCGGAAATGCTCACATACCTCGGACAGGTGACGATCGGGTCGGTTCAGTCTTAGGCGGCGAGGACACGCAGAGACTGCATCTGACAGCCCATCTCGCATTCATACGTTTTGGGACAACCATCAGATCTGCAAGGCCGACTTTACATATAGGAGACGGCAACTGCAATAGACGCTAAGGAGAAGTCATCACTGTATTACTGTTGCATCCTTTCACCTGGTAACCACATTGACTGCATTTGCTTCACTTCTCCTATATCTGTTCTTATCTATTTTTGATGCCCTCACTTCTGAATAACCTTAAGACCGTCGTTTAGGTTCACGTTCCAAAGTTAGCTAACCGCCCACAGTCGTATTGGTTGCCTATAAGTGCAAGTGAGATTTATCAAAATTAGTTTAATATGGGTGTTGCCCGCCTGAAACCACTGCACTCCATGACGCGTTTCGAGGTTATTTCCTCTCATCAGATAGAGATAGCAGGCATCGAACCCGGGACCATTGAGATGTTAGTTGTGACCGCCACCCCTAAGCCACCGGGCCACGACGGGCAAAGCTTGGCACAACGGCAAATAACAGATTGGAAAGTGAATTTGAAGTACACGTTGTGTGGATGGATTGCGACGCGCAATCTCAAAGTAGACCGCGATTCCCATTGAAGTGAACCTTGGCCATTCGATCACTACTTTGAGATTGCGCGTCGCAATCCATCCACACAACGTGTACTTCAAATTCACTTTCCAATCTGTTATTTGCCGTTGTGCCAAGCTTTGCCCGTCGTGACCCGGTGGCTTAGGGGTGGCGGTCACAACTAACATCTCAATGGTCCCGGGTTCGATGCCTGCTATCTCTATCTGATGAGAGGAAATAACCTCGAAACGCGTCATGGAGTGCAGTGGTTTCAGGCGGGCAACACCCAATTTGCTGCTGCTTCATCAGCTACGGTCCTAGTGATCGAATGGCCAAGGTTCACTTCAATGGGAATCGCGGTCTACTTTGAGATTGCGCGTCGCAATCCATCCACACAACGTGTACTTCAAATTCACTTTCCAATCTGTTATTTGCCGTTGTGCCAAGCTTTGCCCGTCGTGACCCGGTGGCTTAGGGTTGGCGGTCACAACTAACATCTCAATGGTCCCGGGTTCGATGCCTGCTATCTCTATCTGATGAGAGGAAATAACCTCGAAACGCGTCATGGAGTGCAGTGGTTTCAGGCGGGCAACACCCAATTTGCTGCTGCTTCATCAGCTACGGTCCTAGTGATCGAATGGCCAAGGTTCACTTCAATGGGAATCGCGGTCTACTTTGAGATTGCGCGTCGCAATCCATCCACACAACGTGTACTTCAAATTCACTTTCCAATCTGTTATTTGCCGTTGTGCCAAGCTTTGCCCGTCGTGGCCCGGTGGCTTAGGGGTGGCGGTCACAACTAACATCTCAATGGTCCCGGGTTCGATGCCTGCTATCTCTATCTGATGAGAGGAAATAACCTCGAAACGCGTCATGGAGTGCAGTGGTTTCAGGCGGGCAACACCCAATTTGCTGCTGCTTCATCAGCTACGGTCCTAGTGATCGAATGGCCAAGGTTCACTTCAATGGGAATCGCGGTCTACTTTGAGATTGCGCGTCGCAATCCATCCACACAACGTGTACTTCAAATTCACTTTCCAATTAGTTTAATATGGTTATTATGGTTGCATTTAGTCCAAACTAATGCACACTCATAGTGTTATTGTTCATGTGGGTTGCTGTTTCTGCATTCGGTGAACAAGTGTCCGCTCGCAACAGTTCAGAACTGCAACTCGTACCCGGACCTTTGTTTTGTTAACTGATACCTCTACTCGCTGCGTGCGGTGCAAGTCAGCGGTAGCTAATAATCTAGCAGAACCACTGGCTGTTTTCTATCAGCGATATCTAGAAGAGAACCATATTCCACCAGTATGGATGCGAGGGATCATCACTTATATCCATAAAGGAGGTAGCCGCACTGATCTTGCCAACTACCGTCCAATAACACTACTTCCCGTACTATTCAAAGTGATGGAATCAATCATCGCAGATGCGCTGATGCAGTACCTGGAAAGCCAAAACTTAATAACTCCAAAGCAACATGGCTTTCGTCAAAAGCATTCATGTAATACTAACCTATTACTTGCACGTAATAGCTGGACTGAAGCTGTTGATGATGGAGCAGTATTCGATGCCATCTACCTGGACTATTCAAAGGCGTATGATCGCTTAGACCATGGAATTCTTCTTCAGAAGCTTCGGAACTACGTCATTGGCGACCCAATCCTGAGTTGGATTAGCAATTTTTTACAAGATCGACGGCTAGTGGTGAGAGTCCAAGAATCATTGTCTCATGCAATCGATGTTGTGTGTGGAGTACCACAAGGCTAGTTTCTTGGACCGTCTATTATTGGTGTTTATTAGCGATTTGTGGAGATCAGTTACTTCCGATTTCCTATTTTTCGCTGATGATATCAGGATATGGCGAAGGATCAGAGGACCGGACGACCACGTACGGCTCCAGTGCGATCTTAACACAGTGTCGAACTGGTCAGTTCAAAACGCCCTACCATTCAACGTAGACAAATGTCGCGTTGTACAATTACGCCGTAGACTTAACTACACCTATTTACTTGGGACAAACGGATTGCTGACCAGCTATCAGAAGCGTGACCTTGGTGTGCTCGTACAGATCGACCTCAACTGTTCGAAACAGGCAGAGGTAGCTGCGAAAAGAGGCAACCAGCAAGTCGGAATGCTGCGAAGGGCCTTCGGGAGATTGACCCATCATGCATAGCTCAACCTCATATACTCAAGCTTGCCTCTAGGACGCTGTTGTCCTGTGGCTTCACCGAGGTGTATTTCACTTTGTCTGCCTTTTCCGTGTTTGCATTTGTTATTCTTTCCTATATTTATCTGCGATACCTGTTAGGTATATTTTATTTAGCCCAAAAAATCTATTGTTCCATTACAAGTTTGCCTGATGCCGGAGCGATTAGAAGTATGGAGGTTGCGGTTAGCAGTTATTTTATAGAGTTCAAAAATCATACCGGAACTACACTTTGGCAATAGCAATAGTCTAATACAAATTGCGCGTACCTACGCTGGGTGTGTAGCACAAAAATCTATTGTGAACTCCAACTACACCTGATATGTTCCGTGCCAGTTTTCCCTTGGCAACATCGTTAGCCACATTGTCCTGACTGACCCCTAAAGAGTGGTTAACACGACATTTGGTGCGAGTGCGAGTACGAATCACCATTGTCGATGGGTCCACACTGTACTGATGCTCCGTATGTTAAAATGAATAACCTCAAAAGATCATCGACAGTGAAAAGTCACAAATAGCACGATATTATGTGATTTAGTCCAAGGATGCCATACCAGTTTGTGCTCATGAACACCTCATTCGAATCACAGACCAACCCAGTGGGAATCTAATTAGTCAAAAGTTAGCCAATGAGTACGATTTGACTGGGTGCGCAACATTTGGAAACCATGGTTATTCGTCAAGCTTATCTTCCGAGCTAGATAGCCGCAGTCATTTTAGTCTTGTATGAAGTTGCACCTTGCGGAAATTACTCGAATGTTGTTACCATGACCCTTGTCATTTGATCTTGAGAGATAACCGTGCCGGAGTCTACAATCTCTTTATTGAGTTATCTGGTAGAGATAAAAAGGAACTAACTGAATTATCTATACCTTTTCTCAGTTAATTGGATCCATAATGTTTATAAATTCTCCCTTAAAGGAAACATATCCCTCCATAGATTTTGCAAAATGGTCTTTGACGCTATCAACTTGATTCCAGCGGACACTGACGTCCCCAAATGCTAATTGCGTGACCAAAACCAAATCAGACGATATCATCCCACTCTGTATGCTTATCCGTTATCAGCTTATTTGAGATTGGTCACTCAACCAATAGCACTTATTTCTAGAATTGTGTGACTACCTTGGACACAGCTTGAAAACTATAAGAACCATTTTGAGTGAGCCATGGAGGAATTTCTACGTGCTGTGGATCCAATTGGTTCAGAAAAGTTTTAGTGGATGCCCAGGAAGCTTTGCTTAGCAGCCCAAGAACGTCGACAAACTATGGTGTTCGTTAATGCATCGTATACACTACAGTCGAGGTGTACTAAGAGTATGCAACTGTCTTGCAGTTGCACTCCTACTTATTATGCATTGGGGAAGAAAATACTGGAAGAGGATCATCGAAGCCCAACTAGGGGATATATTGCGCTGTCTAATAAAGGCGTTTCACGTACTTTATAAAATACAACCAGTTTTTATCCACTAGTTGCACACTAAAAGTCTGTCGCATAGCATATTTTGTTCCTCTTTTACAGAAATACAGTTCAACGAGTCCAGCGGAGCATTCGCGAAGCAGTACTTCAAAACTGAATCCGCCTGAGGAGAAGACAAAGGTATGCACTTTCATAATACCATGTTGGTGGCAATTTCATTCGAATAGAAAGTGTTCTACTGCAGTTTCAATCCGGTTTAGCAATGCGCCATTTGAAACATATTTTATATGTGCTCATTGAAACAAGTAAATTCGATCTGGATTGAGGTTAACTTCGAAGTGAGTCTCGGACTGTCCCATCACCAAGGAAGAGGCACAAATAGATGAATGCGATTTATTAACCACACCAAACTTTACGCTTCGCGACTGATTTGTTGCTTATTCTGAGCCTTTACGAAGCGATAAACGAGGTTAAATGCGGAAGCCCCAAGTACCAGGATCGCAATTCGGCTTTGTACTCTAAGGACCTGGGTTCGAACCCGCGTAGGGGACCGGGATATCCTCGCAGTATCCATAGCCCATGTGCGACTGGTGGTGTTTGCGAGGCAGCGAAGCGTCAGTACTGTTGCCTTTTCATGGCAATCTTATGTTGAATTCTAAAGAAGGCAAATAGTTATTTGGAGCGGACGTTGCATGCATGGTAAAAGTCGGTATTTCTTGCAACGAAACTACAGTTCGATTGAAGCACGTTTAATCCACACCACGTCTAGCTATATGCTGGTTGCGCAGTTCCATAAACGGCAATGTTTCTGGGATCATAAGGCTTCTCTGTTGACTTAGTCAAACAGAGTACAATGAGCTTACGATAGTGCTGATGAAGGTAAGCCACCGGCAGAACCATGTAGGTAAAGGACCAGTTTCTGGATCCACAGATTGAATCCTTCGGCTTGGTGTACCCTAGATGTCTGCCTATTTATTGGAACCATCTGTTCGCTACGATAGGATACTCCCATCGCTGTGTGGATTAAGGTCAGGTGTTAAAACTCCCAATTCGTTGTAGCGGTGTCATTTAAACCAACCACATGCAAATTTCAAAGCCATTTTTACCTGTCAAAACAAATTAACGATGGTTAAGATGGGGTACTTACGAGCAGTAATGTCAATTATGTTGATTAGGTGATTTCGAACCTACTCCTCAGTTGTAAACTTGTCATACAAAGCACATCGCACCGCTTCACCCACAAGCACTTCAGACAAGCAATGTTACGATGCAGGATATGTGAGGGGACCAGTTGGGCAGTTTTTGACTTCCTCAGTGTTGCGTCAAAGATAAATCGGGAATAGAAAGCACAAGTTTTTACAAACTTCTCCAACTAGGGTTTACTTCGTACTTCACTTTCAACAAAGTAGTGTGAGAAAATAAATGGGACACGGATGAAAGCTGACCAGTGAAGAGATTTGTTGTAACATTGGCCCATCGATAACTTTCTCAAGAAAACTGTCCGCAATTGGCGGTCTTAAAGGTGACCCCATCGCAATCCCAAATGTTTGTGGTTATTAATTTCAACAAACACAAACCGCCTGTTGAACTTGTAGTTTAACGTTATGTCGTTGACGCTTTAAACTGAATTATCGATATCGATATTTTCCTGTGTTACCCACTCATAGAGAAAAAAGCCAGCGTTTCTATAAATGGAACGCTCGTGAGTAGAGATTAACATCTACGGATTGCATCAATCTGTCCTTCAAGTTTAGGTCAAGCCGTTTAGTGAATTCGAAAGTACCACTAACATTGCGGTTTGATACTTCTCCGCGCATTGCCTCGAGTATTTCTACTAACCATTTGGCACGTTAAGACACTGCAGACCCTGAAGCATCCATTAGCAAGCGCAGAGTGATGCTAGTTTTGTCACTCAATGAAGGCGAAGTGGCTGTCAGCCGTAAGTAGGGTTAACTGGTTAAGCTAAGTACCATCGATATGGACACAGCGCCTCAGCTACTTGAACAAATTTATGATTTCAACTTCACCCTGTATGATGCCAAACTTTTGGTGATGGGTCAATCATGAATTTGCTAGATTCATCTGAATAGCGTGCATCTTTGACTTGTAATTCGACTTATTCATTATTACCCAGGATTGGACGTTAATTCCTGAACTGCTTCTCCATGTCTGTTAGCAATTCGTTTTGCGAACTGCGACTTGAGAAAGGTGTATGAGAGATGGAAATTGGGTATTGCCCACCGGAAAACACTGCACAGCCACGACGCGTTTCGATGTAATTTTCATCGCATCAGGTGAAGACAGCAGGATTTGAACCCACTACCATTGGAATAGTAGCCCACACTACTACCCCTTTGGCTACCGGGTCACGATGGGCAACGCTTTTTGTCACAACGGTAAATGACTAATTGTAGGGACAAAATGCGTTGCCCATCGTGACCGGGTAGATAAAGGGGTAGTAGTGTTGGCTGCTATTCCAATGGTAGTGGGTTCAAATCCTGCTGTCTCCACCTGATGAGATGAAATTACATCGAAACGCGTCGTGGCTGTGCAGCGTTTTCGAGTGGGCAATACCCAATTTCCATCTACTTTAGAATAGGTCGCCAGCGATCGCAGCAACTAACGTTTATTTCAATGTGAATCACAGTCCATTAAAAATTGAGGTTGCGTGTCGCAATCCAATCACACAACGTGTATTCCAAACTTGACCCTCCAATTAGTCATCTACCGTTGTGACAAAAAGCGTTGCCCATCGTGACCCGGTAGCCAAAGGGGTAGTAGTGTGGGCTACTATTCCAATGGTAGTGGGTTCAAATCCTGCTGTCTCCACCTGATGAGATGAAATTACATCGAAACGCGTCGTGGCTGTGCAGTGTTTTTGGGTGGGCAATACCCAATTTCCATCTACTTTGAATACGGTCCCAGCGATCACAATGAATAATGTTTATTTCAATGTGAATCACAATCCATTAAAAATGGAGGTTGCGTGTCGCAATCCAATCACACAACGTGTAATCCAAACTTGACCCTCCAATTAGTGTATGAGAGATGTTTAAAAGGTGTCACCGGCCAAGGAGCAGGTGGGTGTCAAGTTAATCAGCTGATGGCTCCGATTTTCACACGGAGTCTATATGCAAATTCTACCTACCCGACTGCGATGAACATACTTCCGGTTTTAAACAGAGGGCCTCAAGTTACAGTTCGTTTAACTGCACAGTAGGAAGGGTGTGATCAACGTTGCACACAAGTGTCTATGTACCCCATCATGCCGATACAGGCTTGCCTTGCATCTTTGAGAATAGAGTTAGTTTATTTTGTTAGCTATTGTTCTTTATACGGACCTACTAATTATGTAGGTACGCAGTTCAATGGGTCAAATAATTCGCACTAGTTATTGGAAAGGAATAAGAAAACTACGCTTTTTGATCACTTACCCATTGTTAACTGGATTTATAGGTTAAACATACAGATCGGCCTGACTACATGTTGCACTCATTAAAGCGCAGTTAAATTAAGACTTTTAGCAGTATTACCTTCCTCATATTTACGCTTGAACGTGTCTAATTTTAAATGAATTTGTGAAACCCGGTTCTTCACGAACATTGTAAGTGATCGGTTGAGTAAAACCATGTAGAAGCAGTTACATCGTCAAAACCCTACTTATTGACTAATGTTCACTGCTGCTGTCCGGAAGTCAAAGATCACAAAGCTGCCATAAAATCCGAGGGCGCGGTCCGAGTCTGTGTATGGATTAGGTGACCCTCGAAATATCCTTAGCCCACTTGCGACCGGTGGTGGTTACGCCGTAGCAAAGCGTCAGTACTGCGGATCGACCTACTGATGGTGCTGTTAACTGATCGCAAACGAAATCGACCCGCCCAAGCGATGAAATCTATTTCCCACTAACCTCGCCGGGGCCACTCTATAAAACAATCGATAAGGTAATTTTCGAACATGTGCTTGAGAGAATGCGTTGGATCCTGTTGGTTTCAATGTCATGGCTAGGATACCCAAAATTAATGTCTGTAGATGCCAGAATAGCTTCTAGCGCCACAATATATTTGCAGCTTGGTCAAGGAACTGTGCTTCTAGGGGGCCATGACCGTCATTTATGAAACTGAACACAGGAAGGCGTTCCGTCACCGACCGGTACGGGCTTAAACTAATGAAGAAGTTGGAGCAAACTGGGTGTGTGTGACATGAAGAGAACCGGACTGCCTCGCATCACCACGGACGACTCTTCAGTTTGCGCTGTAGTCAGTGAAGTGTCAAAACGTCCCGATCTCAGTAGTCGTCAGATCGCACAACACTGTGACACGACCCGATATGCGATACACCGGATATTAAAGGAACGAACATTTGGAAGATTCATTGCACTTCAAGTGCAGGTTTTGAACCCTGCGATCCGGAGAAGCGGAATGAATTTTGCCGCTAACATCTGGATCACGGGATACTCGAGAAGTAGTAATGTGGTTTTCATCCTTTTACCTCAGACCATATCTAGGGTTCGTTCAGTCCTTTATGTATGTGGCACTTTAAAACCACACAACAAATGGCTGCGATATGAGAATTGTAAGGTTTGATTTCATTCGCTACCACGGATACCCCGATGCAGAGCCCCAAAAATGCAATGTATTTCTTATTATCTGGTGCTCTCCACATAAGGAACAAAAATCTTCCAACATCTCATGAAGCCAACATTATTCATGAGAAGCCAAACATAAAGATTTATGACCCTGTGGGAACACATGGCGACTTCCTATAAACAATCCTGACGCGGAGGATAAGACAGTGTACGTAGTTCTGAGCGATAATTAGGTACAGTTGGGTCGGGATAACAAGTTATTACACTGACTGGAACTAACGAAACAATTCCTTTCAAACCGCAGACACGTGAATGCACTTCGAAATTTGCAGCGTCGAATCGCACCACTCAGTACGATTGGTGGGTATACACACACAACAAAAAAGGCGGACAACGTCCCTTTGCCAAGCACTGGCCTACTTTCCAGGGCGTACTGGCCCCAAACATTATACTTACTTCTGCCCCACAACAGCAGTGTTATCTAGCATCAAATTCATAGCAAAAGTGGTTCTGGGAAAGTCACTATCCGTGCATAACATAGCTTTCCTGGAGTGGATAACCTACACTCTAAAGCACTACAGGCAGCAGCCATTCACCTAGACTAGCCACTTGCCGGATTCTTTCAGAGAAGTCGGTCTGATCCTATCAATTATCGTCCGATAACAATTCTCTCTGCTATTTCCAAACTCATGGAAGCTATCATCGCTGGCAAAAGTGATGGGCTACTTGGAAAACTTAGGTGATGCATTATAAGGATCAGTTGGTAATTTTCTCCGTGAACAGCAATTCTACGTTAGAGTGCGAACATTTCTGCCCGACCCTAATCTAGTGAAGTGCGACGATCTTACGAGAATCATCACCTCAAAAGTTTTACTTTTCCGGATGACGTTAACAGTTGGCCGGCGATCAAGAGAATGGACGACTACAAGACCCTCCATGTGCGACATAGGTGGGAGCTGGCATTGACCGGTGAGGAATTCACTGTCATTTAATGTGGTCAAGTGACACATTGTCGACATAAGCCAAGGACACGCCTATCTATAAAAAATTGGGGCATATGACTTGCAGACAAGCCCTCAGGAACTTAACCTCAATGTGCTGGTGCAGGATGACTTCGCCTATTCCCGACAGTCGGAATCCGTTTCAAAATGGTAACCAGCACGTTGTTAGCTTGCGGATGGCATTCGAAAGTTTTGATTCATTCATCTTCCCTATGATATTCCATGCCTATGTGCGTTAACAAGTCGAATACGCAATTCAGGCTTGGCACGCTTGGCTAAACTGGGACTTTGTAGCTCTCGAAACTCACCATGATCGAGCAACAAAATATGTCAAGGGATTGTGCAATCTTGCACACCAGTTGCGCTACACCAGTAGACGCTACAGGTGGCTACGTGGAGACGTCATATTAGTCTACCAGATACGGAACGACCCCACGTACACTTGTTGCCATCTACTGCAACGCATCCGGAACATAAACTTCACCGGCAATAGCCTGAAACTGGGTCAACAACACAGTCGGCTTTTCATTAAGGCTGGACGAACCTCAACTCATAACGACTCAGTGATTCCGCCATAAGCAGCCATCGAACGTTTTGGTGCCTATTCTGTTTATGTGCCCAACGACAGCCTGGACGTTAAGAGTCTTATCCGCCCGCAAACATCATTAGCAAAATATGTCATTGGACCAGTTTAGTCGTTAACACATTTTGAAGGAGGATAAGTATATTAACAGAAATGTAGTAGAACATGCATCTATGCTAGTGAAGGATGTGTACAAAATATCCGCCGGCGTTCTGCTTGCAGTACAGAAACCGCTTTATGCAACTGGGGAGCACTTTCTACAATGTATCCCTTGTGGTCGCGCGACATTCGTTCACAATATTTTCTTTCAATTGGTCCAACGTACACGACCATGTTTTTTACACTCGCCGCTTCAAATAGCGTCATAGAAAAAATTCCATGGGGTTTAAATCTGGTGAGCGATCAGGCCACTCCATTGGTCAACCGCGTCAGGTCTAATGCTGAACAAATCTGTCGGCGAGCTAAGCACGCACCGTTTTAGCAGCATGTGCAGGTGCACCATCCTGCTGCCAACAAATGGTACTGCACATCCCATCGGACTTCAACTGGGGAAGCAAAAATCTCCGCAGCATTTCCAAGTAAAACGATGCTAGGAAAAAATAAGGCATTTGCACTTCAAAAGAACAACCTACCGGTCACATTCCCGGAAAAGAAATATGGGCGCAGGCTTTTCTGGCTTGTTAATCCGATCCAAACCATCAGTTTCACGCTGTGGTGTATACGTGATGGGGTCAATTTTCATAGATTGCCGGTAGCCCAAGAGTAAGGTTTCTTTGTTCCATGCAGATAAAACAATGTCTCATCTGTAAAGAAAACAGCACGAATACCCCCGTGATCCAGATGTTAGCGGCAAAATTCATTCCGCTTCTCCGGATCGCAGGGTTCAAAACCTGCACTTGAAGTGCAATGAATCTTCCAAATGTTCGTTCCTGTAATATCCGGTGTATCGCATATCGGGTCGTGTCACAGTGTTGTGTGATCTGACGACTACTGAGATCGGGACGTTTTGACACTTCACTGACTACAGCGCAAACTGAAGAGTCGTCCGTGGGGATGCGAGGCAGTCCGGTTCTCTTCATGTCACACACACCCAGTTTGCTCCAACTTCTTCATTAGTTTAAGCCCGTACCGGTCGGTGACGGAACGCCTTCCTGTGTTCATTGCATTTTATTTGCTTGAAGCTGATGCGTTGTGTTGCTGCAGGACCACCAGCCACTCGATGACCCCTTGACGCTTGCTAACGAGGAACTCGAGGTGGTTGATCAATTCACTTATCTTGGCAGCTGCATCAGCAATGATGGGCGCATGGAAACTGACGTGAGCTCACGCATTGCAAAGGCTAGAGCTGCCTTCTTGAACCTGCGTCATCTTTGGCGACAGAAGGGAGTTTCCCTCCGTCTGAAAGGCCGTGTATACAAGGCCACAGTGAGGGCCGTTCTGCGGTATGGTAGTGAGACTTGGCCCCTTCGGTCTGAAGATCTGAGGCGCCTTCAAGTCTTTGATCATCGTTGTTTGCGAAGCATTGCTGGTGTCGGATGGCACCAGCGTGTCCGCAACCATGATGTGCGTAGGCGAGTACTAGGTGGTGATGATCATGCTAGCTCCCTAGAACAACAAATAGCACTGAATAAGTTACGTTGGCTCGGACACGTGCTACGCATGCCTGTTCACCGCATACCTAGGAGGACCTTGTTTAGTCTGCCAGGTGTAGGATGGCGCAAGGCTCGAGGTGGACAGAAGTTGACTTGGCAGCGGGAAATGAAGTCACTGACGACCAAACTGGGTGCCGCTGGTCCGTCTCGCCTTCCGGGTTGGAGTCCACGTGACTCACCTTGTGCTTGGCTCGAGACTTTACAGGACATGGCTCGCAACCGACACCAGTGGCGCGTCTGCTGCCGTCTGCTAATCGGATTGTCTGTTTAAAGTGTGTTTGGTGCTGAGTTATCTGCAGGGTAATGGCTGATTATGACGCGTGGCAGTGAAAGCCGCAAGGAAGCTGTCTCGCCGATGCCGCCTTATCTTTGCACGATAGCCAGTTGTTTGTGACGGAATGTTGTCTACACAAGGTGTAGGCGCCTTGACCCTGAATGTTTGCTTAGGGCATTAAGGTTTTCAGGTAAGTCCCCCTTCTCTCCCTCTTCTTATTCCTTATTTCATAGGTCCTCATGGTTGTATGGCAGCGAAGCATCAGTTCAAATGGCTGATGTACTGCTGTTGATGATGATGATGATGATGATGATGCGGCGTTTAAACCGCATCCACCTTACAGCCGAATAATCAGCGCGCGCTGAGTAACAGTTACGTTACGTGATCCCGACTGAATTGTCTGCTCGTGCTCCATTACCTGTGGTTTAATAATATTGACAAGATTTGCAATGCCTAACCCCCTTCTCAGCTGAGCTGCCATCACGTGCGTACATTCACGTCGCAGTTTTGGTTGCCTAGACCGACCGCTGCGTAGCCAGCGAGACACACACAGCTAACAATCGATCGCTCCAACGCCTACGTTTGGCCATGACCTTCAGCACTCAGCGGGAGTTTAGCTGACAGCTAATGAAGGCCGGAGACACGTTGTAGCTGCTTGTACTCATCTCGCTCATGATCAAAACAGCCTCATGTCGATGCGTCTTTAGAGGTTGGGCTTTTTCTCAGCTGAGCCCTGCACTAAACCACTCGTCTGCCGAGAATTCCACACGTCCTCACCACTAAGGTGAGAGAGAAATTCATGTCGCTGTACGCGCGGTAACATGTTGCGAAGTTTGATAAACATTGGATGCCTATTGGATGTTAGGGACAACAACAGTAAATGACCGGCGTGCACCATAAGCGGGCCACGGTAGGTAAATGAACGCCAATCGGCCTTGTTTCATCAGTCTAACCTTGTATGCCCTTTGGTTGGTGGTGAGATAAAGTGCATGGTTTTGACTTGCTTCGACGCGCCCAGTTGATTGGTTGTAGGTCAACTATTGTGTTGACGTGCCGTGTATATGACGCATTGCATATGACGTTGTTTGTGAGTAGGCTTTTCCATATAGGTTAAGGTAGTTTTTCGCAGGATTTTTTTGGGAATTGTGTAAACGGTCCTACCAAATAGCAAGGGTCAAGTCAGTGTTAACCACCTAGGTTTTGTGGATCCGACGGGTACCAGACGGAATGCGCACTGCTTACGATTTCTGAAGTGATGAATCAGAAAGATTGCTTTTCAGATCATATCTGCCTGCTTGTGTTTTATGTGCTGAGCTTTTGATAATATACATAAGTACGTGGCCCAACCAGAAGCTACAATCCGGGAGAACAACAAACATCGACTGTACATTCTTTCCAGCAAATCGATCTATCTTATGTCTGGCCGTCAGAATGTCATCTATGAGTTGCAAACAGTCACACGTGGTAATGGCAAAAACATGTTCTTAGCTGGGATCGGAGCGAAGTTGGAAACCTAGAAAGGATCTTTCGTCGGGGACCCCTAATCACCGGTCCATTGCAAATTCATTTGGATCGCATGAAATGTGAACAGGATAAGACCAAATCTTCTTCTTTTGTTCGCCTATTCTTCTTATTGCCAACACCATCACTGTAATGTTATTACGCCTCCGTGCGAATTTGCTGCAATGCTGCTATTGCTTTTCAGGATATTTCGCCCTAAGAAATTTAGTCATATTTATAGCTCATCTTGTTACTTTTAAAGCATTCTGGCAATGTAATCGTTATCTTTCGTTTCAGCGTAATTCCATGCCCCGTTCGTCTCTCTCTGTGAGAGAACCCGTTACACCGAAAAACTCATCTTTGGTAAGGATTGTTTAATCTTTATTTCTACACCCAGTCGACTTACACACCGGATTTATGAGTCACCGTTGCCAACCTTTTATCTTTCTGGAACACAGCTTTCTTTCCGGATTCGCGAGCGCAAAAACTGCACATTGGCATAGAGACGCGCTGCTTAATCCGCCTAAAAGCACAGAAGAACAGAAAACGAGCTTCGTTACATGAACGACGGTTAAGTATTTCGCTAGACAATTGGTGTAGGGAAACCTAGTTTTGACTACCGTGTCACGATTTAGGCCGGAAATAGGAAACCCTAACATTTAACGGTATGGCAGATGATCTCTTCAATCTCTTCAACTTGGTATCATTATATGGATCAAAAGTATGTGATGGCAAGTGCCATTTCTTGATATCCAAAATTCGTTACGCTGTCTTGATACAAGCTATCCGACATCGAAGAGTAATTCCCCGGCGGAATCGAAGATAAGTTAACGAATCACATTTCAAAATCTCGAGGCGATTTTGCTGTTTCACAGCGATGGCACTAGCGCGAATTTAATGCCTCCTTAAAAGTTAGAGTGTACAAAGCAGCCTTACCGTCGACCCTCCTGTATTGTTGTGAAACCTGGCCACATAAGGAGGCTACTTACCTTCGATCATCGCTGACATTGAATTTTGGCCCATATCTGTTTGGAACACCGTGTTAGCAAGTAGCGTGCTTGGATGTTTGTTTATGGCACCGGAAGAGGAAATGAACCGCTCAGCACCGTTATTTCATGAACCAGACGCCAATAGCTATGCCACGTTTCGCGCATAACGACATATTTTTTCTCGCAATGCACATTAATTGCGCGCTGAGGGTGTGGATGGAAGTATAAGAAAGGAGGCCAAACGATTAGTTGCGCAAGGGGAATAAAAGACCCTTACTTCTAAGTTGTCCTCGGTTGAAGCCTCTAGGTTCTTTGAGTCGACCTCATAGGCGTTTGTAGTGGGAGTTTCTTCGTCCTTTCCCTCCACATTAGCCTCTCCCACCAAACAAGCTTTCATGTACTGGGCGTAATGCAAGTGTTTTCAACTGCGCTACACAATAGTCGACTGTTAGCTCTACGGAACGATGTCCATCCGTTATTGATCGATCAACCGGCGTGTCTACGTCGCATGTTATTGTAAATTTATTATATATTGCGGCACGTTAGTTGAGATGTTTTCCACATCCAGATAACGTGGATACTGATGATGATTATGATGATTGCTCATGAACTCACACCAAGCAATCCTGGCTTCAGCGTGTATTGTTGCTAGTCCATCCGTTTGATGATAGTTCTATTTGCTGTCCTTGAGTGCATACCTCTCCTCTTCATGGTAAGGTGAGTTACGCCATTTGGCTATGGAGATAACAATCGAGCAGTCTTGTACGTAGGACCGTGAATGAGTCCGGGAAAAAATGGTTTCGATTCCCTATTAATTTTCGTCATAAGGATGCTCTTAGAAGTTCTATGAAAACCAGTTTTCCTACTGTAATCTCATTCATCACTGACTAGTCCATTTGGTCGGATAATAGCTAACACCACTATCATCAACTGCATTGTAATGGGTGAGCAACATACCCTCCGGTGCTGAGACGTTTATAGTTTCAATTCTCGGTGGAATCGCGGGTAATCACTACTGGTGATTCTCAATAGATACTCTTAGATTATCAATATGCCGAAACAGCCATCTAACAGTGTTCCAGAAGCGTTAGCATGCTGGCTGAATCAGAACTACAGTGAAGCTTTCCCAACAAACGCAAGTAACTTTCATTTAAAACCTTTACGGCACACATATATGGTTCTTATGGGTAAATGCAAAGTTGTCTGAACCAGTGAACTCTCGCTAGTCAGATTCATTCACCACACTTGTGCTTGCAAGGAAACGGACATTAGCTAAAAACAAAGATACCAAACTTCGAAAGTCTGGTAAAGTTTCCAGGGTGAGAGTGGTGAGTTAAATTAGAACCAGGTCAACAGACCAATGCACTTAGTGGTGAAGGTTCAATGTTGGTCAGTACGCTCTTAAACCAACTGGCATATGTCGTTGGAGGTTAGATATTTTCGAATGGCACACAGTGACTCATTGAATACATAAGTACTGCGAACTTCCAACCGGCTACACCACCTAAATACATTTGACAATTGCCTCCACGTTCTAGCTTCGCATCGGTCTCAGTCGATGCCGATTGCCGCAGTTTTGAGCTATTCTGCATTTGTTACGTTGCCAACAAGAAGCCCCGTAAAAGCATTTTACTCCTGTACCGTCTTGTGTCCTTCTCTCTCAATTAGTAGAGAAGGTCGTATTGGTCAAATATCAAATCCACTTTGTTTAATCTTGTTCCGGCAGGAAACTGTGTTCCTTCCATTGATGTCACGTCTTCACGGCGTGTAGCAAACTACGTCTCATGTAAGGGTTGAGAATTTGTGCTAAGCTCTAAAAATTAAGTCAAAAATATGTCATTGTAGGAAGCAGAACTTCATTTGGTTTTTCTGGAAGTTATTATATTCGCTGCGAACGTCAACTCGAGATGGCTGTGACTAGAAGCGCCTTGCTATTGATAGTCAACCAGTCGCTATTTAACGGCATACTAAAACTTCATGCCCATCGCTTGCTCCTGATCGCATAATTAATCAACAAAAGAATTATTTCTGCTCGTTCTGTGCCATGATGTGGCTAGAAAAGGGCCTAAATCTCGACGTTCTAGATTCAAATCCGCTGCAGTTTTAGAGTTGGAAAATTCGTATGCGTGTTTAGGTGGATCACATTTATCACACAATCCAACTATAGTTCAACGTTCATTAACTAACGTGTTCAACTCGAACTGATAAAGATGCTTAGGTGGAGTTTTTACGAATTGGAATAAATATAAACATAATGTGAACGGGATGTAATTAACCACATAGTATGATGGTATTGAGGGACTTGGCTGAATTTATGTAGCCTGCCTAAGATAGCAACGTGAGGTTTACATCATGAACTGTCTTCTAAACGGTCTTTCGAGGCTGCTTCCATCTGTGAATCAAGCGGTACTATCTCACCAACCAAGCCAGCTTGGCTGGATAGCACAAACAAGGAGTGTAAAGGAGGCTCATATCATATTTTCTCGTAAGCATTCCCATCCCCGTGTTTCATTAGGGGGGAAAGTCAGTTGTATTTCGAAGGGTGACCAACGCATTGTTCCCAACAGCTTCCTTTGAGTTTCGATTCAAATGTCTAAAATCTTCAGCGTAATCGTATACAAAAGCAGAACGTTTTCCACCTATTGGGGATGTAATCGAAATGACTACTTATGAGTAACAGCATATTTATATAATTTATAGAAAGCCATCATGTAATTAGTAGTTTTTGAATTACTCATGACGGTTCGAAGCGATCCCTCGTGGCCCATTGGCATAAGCTTCTGACTGGTTGTGTAAGCCGCTGGTGGTCATGTGTTGTAATCCTGATGGGTCCGATGTATGCGCACTACGGACGATGCACAACAGTCTGAAACTGCAGTCCAGTGCTTTTCCGGGTATGTGGACGACTACCTGACTGCGAAGCTAGCTGTGATGAACCTCAATTAGCTCCTTAGTAGTTGTACCACTGTGCCGCTGCCATTGCGACAATAGTCCATATTTTCTCAGTTGTGAGTACATCGATTGATGGACTGTTCGTGTGCCATATTTGGTTACCAGCAGATTCAATGGGCGGAAGGCGAATGCACATACCACATGCAACATCCACGCACGCTGCCAGTCACATTAGTATCCGGTCGTTTGTGTGGAAAGCAAGAGGGATGCAGTCAGAGACAAAGAAACGGAACCAGGTCAATGCTCAATGGATTGAATAATAATATTTCGCACTGCCCTCTAGGTGGTCCGTGTGGTCGCAGGCGAGGGCACGTGACAGGCCCCTGTGGCACGTTCACGGCAGCCATCATCCATCATCATCAACAAAATCATTGTAACAACGATACTATCTAAACTAAGTACGTCGTACGTAAACTAAACTAGAAATTCCGAACAAATAAACCTAGACTTAATGCACGGTCTGGGCAGAATAATCAAACGAATAATCCTGTAGCCGTGGCTCTACAAGGCATATTAAATACAGTACATGACTTACGAATGGGTTTTGCAATCGTAGTGCAAGTGGGCAGAAACTGTACAGCGTAGAGCGGAGCGAGTATTTGTGAAGTTCCCCAGTAAGATAGTAATATGAATGACCTTTGAAACGTCAAGGATGTGTCAGTGATCGAGTGAAAGGAATAAATATACGACATGACAAGCGCATGTAGAACACAGTAAAGCAGTGTAAATGAGCAAGATAATTAGGGAAAAGAGATACCAGGATCTCATGCAAGCAATCCAGGTTGGGGATAGATCAATGTTCTTTTGGACTTTACACTCCTCCGGCGGTTTCGTATTCCGGACGATGGCTTTAGCGGCATCATTTTTTCTTCCTGGTACGCTTCTAGTAGGCACAGCTGTCTGACGTCCCTTCTCAATACACCTTTGCTTGTCCTCACCAGTGCTTTTTGAACTAGTTGGTCTTTGCTCTTGAAAACTTTCTCCACAACACCCTTAGGCTACAGACCTCTTGCTGTGCGTAAATCACAAACTAAAACTAAATCGCCCTGCCTAAAATCTCGGATTTCAGTTAACCACTTCTGTCTATTCTGCAGTGTCGGTAGATATACTCTAATCCACCTACACCAAAACATATCGGACAGATGTCTTACCTGTCTCCACCTTCTGCTCATTTTGATTGGTAAATTGATCGGTGGGTATTCAAGCGACTGATCATTTGAAAGTGTTAGTAGTTGCCGAGGCGATATAGCATCTTGCGAGTCCGGGGAGTCAGGTACCGCTATCAAAGGCCTGTCATTCAATATCCTTTCGATCTCAGTGAGTGTCGTTACAAGTACCTCTTCGGTCACAACCTCGCCGTTGAGAATGTTACGTAATAATTCACGAGTCGATCTAAGTAATCGTTCCCAAAGACCTCCGCGA